CTAATGGAACACGAAATCCTTTCACCCCTCAACTGGGCAGGACTTCCAGGAGGAGGTACACAAGAACCAATCAACATTCTTAACAACGTATTGGAGAAGACAAAAGAGCTAGACAAGGAATACTGGATCTTAAGCCAGGACATTAGCAAAGCCTACGATTCAATAAACCTAAAGCTTTTAAGCAAGGCTCTATAGAGAATCAAAGTTCTAACAACTATCAACAAGATCTTAGAAAATCTAACCAACAACAGAGAAACCAGGGTTATCACATGTTATGGTCTTATAGACAGTTTCAAACCAGCACAAGGTATAGACCAAGGAGATACAATTTCACCTTTGCTATGGCACATCTACTATGATCCACTAATTAGCAGAGTAGAAAAAGAAAATATAGGATACAAGTTTTCAGTTCAAAAACCCACAAACAATCCAAGTATATGGAGAAAACAAAAACTATCACATTTTTAACCAATCACATATCACTAAACATTCAAATATATTTATTATATCTACTAAATATCAATATAAACAATATCAAAAATAGAAATCTATTCAACTATATGATCTTCTTTTATTAATAAACATCAAAATAACAAATATATTCCATCAATCATTAGTTAAAAACAACAACACAACTCTAATTTTACAAATCAATAACTACTATATCTAAACTCTTTATACTTAAACAATTATTCAACCAATCAACTACTACTATTACATACTATTAACTATCAAGAATATTTGTTATTATCAAAAAAGTATATTCTTCAATATACTCAACCAGATTGGAACTATTAAAGTGGTGCATTGAATAAGTATTCTTAATTATATAATTAGTTTTATTATCTTATATTCAAACAACTATTCAATCAATCAACTACTATTATCAATATTAATAGTTATCAAAAAGATATGTTATCATTACTACTATATATTTTGGACAATAGCTTGGCCAATTGAAGAAGTATATTCTTCAATATACTCAAACAGAATAGAACTATTAAAATAGTGTGCTGAATAGGTATTCTTAATCATATAACTGGTTTTATTATATTCTTTATTTATATAATATCAAATATAGAATTTTTTTTCTTTTTTTCTCCATTTTCCTTCACTTTTTATTTTATTTATATCCAATCAAAAATTTTGAATAAGCATAATTGCTACTTAGCTATATTAAACATATATAATATTGTTTTAAAATTTCTTTTTAATATTAGTTAAATATAGATGTATAGGCAGGCTAGTATTTAACTTGTTATATGCTTTTGCATTCAAGAAATGTTGTTTCTTTTACTAGTGTATCTATCAATACCATATAAATAAAGAAATAATATTTATCTACCAGAAAAAAAAAATATATATTGAAATTAATTGATACTTTATCAAAACTAAAACCAATAAATTGATAACAATATTTATTAATACTGATTGGAATTCTAATCATATAAAAATATTATAAAGATAAATTCCAGTTATTCTGATCATCTGTTATTATTAATTCTTAAAATATACTATTAGTATAATATCATATTACTATCTTTATCATTTGTGAAACTGGCATTCTTGCTTGAATTCTAATTTAATCTTGAAAATCTTTACTAGATTTATTTGGTCTTAATAATTTTTACTTAGATTGTTATTACTTATAACAAATAATTTTTATCTTTTTAGTCTATTTAAGTTTAGGAAAACAAGCTTAGAATTAATATTTTTAGATTGTATAATAGAATCTGCTGTTGTCAGTTTGTATTAGAGTTTTGTAGGCTTTTATCGGAGTTAGCTCAAAAGTTTTTTTATATATAATCTTTTATATTTCAATTTGTTTTCAACCTGTAATTATTAAAAAGACCAAAGGTTTTATATTTATACAATCCAATTAAATTTAAATATAATTAATAATTATTTAGATATGACATATGCAAAATATCCAATAAATTTATATATGAAGATAAATACACTTTTTACTTTCTATGAGTTTGAACTAAAGATATGCATTTGGAAATTTGAAAGTACTATTTACTATACTATTAATTCACAAGTTAATTTAAATATAATTTTATAAGAAAATTCAATTCATACTTTTATTTTATTCTATTTATTTTATTTTTTATCATTAAAAAATTTTTTTTCTTTTTTTTCAATTTATTTTTCAGATAACTTATATTTATTAATTGTTTAATTGATAAAAAAAATTATAAGTTATATATTAAAGAAAATCAAAAGAATTAATTGTAGTAACTTCTGAAACTATTTTATAACTTGCTTATTTTAATATGGTTTAAAGTCCTAATTACTTGAAGTTAATATTTAAGCCAATGTTATTTATTAAGAGTTCATGAATTGGAAATTGGATTTTTTTTTGTTGTTTGAGATCTTTTTACTTAGCACAGGTCTTTTTTGATAATGGTATTGATAGTGACAGTAATGATAATGGTGATGGCTTTAACAGCATTTAAAAAAGTTGTCCCAGGAAAAAAAGAAGAAATGTCATAAAGGCAAGTTCCAGATGGAATTGTAGGCATGACAATTATCTAACTATTTTTCTTCCCTCTTATGCTGTGAGTACAATTGTTTATAAGGTTTTTACTAACTTATGTATTACTCTAATCCTACTTCTATTTATATTAACTGCGACGCATCCACCAATCTAACGCGCGTCATGCAAATCTTCAATAGACTCACTTTCCTTCCCATTTCTTCTACTAACAGTAAAACAATAAGGCACTACTAAGTTTGATAGGTTACTAAGCAATTGACATTAACGGTACTCTAAATTCGATCCAATCAGAATTTAGTATTAAATAAAAACACATCAATCTTAAACGTTAGAAATGACAAACATTCCTGTTAACCCTCAAATTCCAATCATCGATTTTTCCCTGTACGACTCAAACCAACAAGAATGTATCGAACAAATCAAATCTGCTTGTGAAAATGTGGGATTTTTCTATTTACGAAATCATGGGTTCAGTCAAGAATCCATTGATGAGATTTTTGACTGTGTAGGCATTTTTCAATGGACTCCTGGTAGAAGTGAATGTTTTGCAGATGGAGTGGATTATAAAAATTCAACAGTTCCATGCTATTGTTTGGATTTGTTCTAACAGAACTAGATAATTAAAATCTGTTTCTAATTCCATCTATAATGGAACTCATAATTTCTTCAAATGTGAACTTCACTGATAAGACTCAACACTCTTTCTCTTCATTAGATTAAACAATTTTTCGATCAATCAATGGAAGAAAAAATCAAGTACAATATCAATGAACATTATTATGGTTACATAAGCATGCGTCAAGAAAAACTTGATTACAAGAATCAAATAATGGGTGATTCGAAGGAATCATTTAATTTCTGCAAATTCGACGAACAGGATAACCCATTGACTCTGACGTTGCCTCCGATATTTAAGGAGAAGAAAGCGTTGATTTCTAGAATTTCAAAGGTATTCGGTAAACAGCAAAATGAAAATGAGTGACTTTAAGTTTTGTTCTATTTTATTGACATTCATTACTTAATTATAGGATTGCCATAAGTTATGCCTGAAGCTATTGGAATTTTTGGCTACTGCATTGGAGATTACTGAATCGGAGGGAGGAAAACATTGGTTCGAGGAGAGGCATAATTATGGGTTAAAGTCTGGTGACTGTTTGCGAATTATTCATTATCCGACAGTGGAGAAAATTGCTGAAAAGGATATTCGAGCCGGCATGTAAGTTATAGAATGGTTTGCCAATTACGTAACTAAACTAACTCTCTTACGCAAAAATTCTTTCCATATGTAGGCACTCGGATTATGGATCTCTAACTGTACTTTTCCAAAAGGATATTGGTGGACTTGAAGTGTTACCACCAAACTCTACTGAATGGATCCCAGCGCCCGTAATTCCTGATTGTGTATTGATTAACATAGGCGACTGTTTGGAATTTTGGACACGAGGTTTATACAAATCAATCAAACATCGTGTTGTATTCAATGAAAATAATATGAATTTTGACAGATATAGTATTGCATATTTCTTTCACGCTGGTCGAGATGTGAGCTTGGACCCGATTCCGTCAAAGTTTGTGCCTAATGATGGCATTGAAAAAATAGGCAACGGGGAAAAGTCATTGACGGCTGGACAATATTTGCAGAATAAGTTGGATGTTTCTTATAAGGATGTGATTTTCTAATGTATTTCTACCAGTATATTACGCACTAATGGTTTATTACAATTAGTAGTCATATTAATAATAATTTAAAAATTATGGTTTTTAAATGTATTAAAAATACATGTAATTTATTATTATTATTTTTTTTTTTGAAAATGTGTTTATTAATTTATAAAGGCAAAATACATTACATTACATAACCAGCTACTGTACGTTGATCATGGAAAAGTGAAATGTTGGATTGAAATAGTTCTATTTCATCTCCTATTAAACAAGCCTTGTTCTTCCAGTTTCCGAATTACCTCGTAATCCCTTTTTATTTGCTCCTCATTCATGTGGGAAAGAATGATCTGTGCAGGGACGCTCAGTAAGTCCTCTGTGATCCTAAAAGGGTTATCTCGCTAGAGTTTCCTTTTTACCAAAAAACAACTGGGAAGTTTTTTAATTTTATCAAACGCCTCGATATCCTGCTCCGTCACTTGCCCTTCAGAACGCACTATCACATAGACGTCCCACGTAGGCTGTTTAAGTGTGTAGCCAATTCTATTGGCGTCAATAGTTATGTCGTCGTTAATAGCATTCAGCATCCAATCTATCTGGCTACTTCCGGTAGCTGCACGACTAGTTTGAGTAACCACGCCACCACGATTCCGGGTACAGGTCTCAATGAGGTAGCCCTCTCCGTCAGTTAGGAAGAATTCCGTATAGGCTGGGCCATGCTTCACGCCAACTGCATCTAGTACTCGGAATGCAAACTGGGCTAGTTTCTGTTGGTATTCTCCAGCGGGGGTAACATCCTGTTAAAGGCACTTACACATACAGAAGCACCTGTCCTTCTTTATTTCGCTCCCAAATAGCTGTTATGACATGTTTTCCTTTAACACTGGCAGACTCAATAGCATATACAGTGCCTGTTATAAGGGCTTGCGCTAACACAGAAGTGTTTACAAAGCCAAGAGTATTGGTCTTCCCAAGGATTTTCTTATGATTTCATCCTCGTTGAAACAGTCCTTGACCCCGTCGCCCCCTGTACTATTCAGTGGCTTAATAATCACTCTTTGTGGTAAGAGATGCTTTTTTCTTACCCAGTTTAAGATGTCATCAACGGAATTAGCTTTTAGCGTATCAGGTACACGGATACCGTGTTTTTTCGCCTGCTCCATCATTTCAAATTTATCTCTTCGACAGGCGCTAAGCTGGGTGCTATTCGATAAATGTGGACAAAAGCGTTCTGATAGCTTATCCGTTAATCCAGAACCCGTGTCTGAGCCACTCAAAACAGCCAGCTTGTTGACTACCTTGCCCTTTAGAAATTCACTTACACGTTCTCATTATTTCCTCGATAACGAAACACTTCCGCAAATTGCTCCCGAGCTTCGACTTTTTCCCGGCCCTCTGTCACGACTGCCAGCAGGATCCATTCGAGTGCTCTGGCAGTCTCTGCATATCATTCACTATATGAGCGGGGATCAACCACCAAGATGTAACCTGGCACGATGCCTGCGGCGGTTTCCGGCAGCTGCAGGCTAACCTGCGCCGTCTTACTCACTGAGGCGTCTGGCACCTCCTGAAGATTCTTTTGTGTTTTCGTATGGTGTGAGTCACTTAAAAACATCCAGAACTGCTAAAGATCTTTCAAATAAGTTTAAATTGTAAAAAAAAATCCGTAACTTAATAGTTTTAAATAAGAATTAAGAATTTATATTATTTTGTTAAAATTAGATAATATATTGATCATATGAATATGATAATCTCAATATTTTTTTTTTTTACAACTGGTATATCTTGTTTTTACGAGGTTTTTGTGCGCAGTATGTACAAATTCATATTATACAAATTTTTCCATCACTAATTCTCAAGTAGAATTACTGTATTTAAGATTTGGATTAACCTTATTTACCAGTCAATTTATTGCTTTCCATTCTTCCTATATTACCAGCATCAAAATTCTGATTGCATAGGTAGAGTGTAGGGATGTTAACTGGTCCTTAGGAATTCAGTCCTGAATGATCTTTTTATTAAATGATCCCAGTCCGATTCTAGCTTTAGGAATTTTTGGTCCCATGATCCTTTAGTCACGTGACAGGCAAATAGGACCGGTCCTACATAAATCTATTTTAAGAATAATCCTGGATGATTTTTAAGAATCATCCTATCCCATTTTATAGATAATAATCACAACACTTAATTTAACAAGTGAACTGAGGATTTCTGTGACTAATACTAATAAGATAAGAGAAATGGCTATGAATCTTGAAGATGACATTATTTCATTACAAGATGAAACCACACCTGTTTAAATTAATACAGATTTTACATATGATTCATTTTTTTCTGAGGCTGGTAATAATAAAGCACTATTTAATGAAAATAAGGATCCGAACAATTCTATTTAGAATCGAATTTAAACGATTTGATTTAAAATCGAATTTAAATGATTCGATTCAATTCAATTCGATTCGATTCTTTTATTTAAAAAATTGAATAAAATTTTAATTTGATTTGATTTGATTTGATTCTATTCAAATCAATTCTATTCTATTCAATTCAATTCAATTCGATTCTATTCGATTCAATCAATTTAATATACTGTATATATTGTTATACTTGATTTTTATCCAAGATCTTCACTATCCCTTGTCTAATTTTCATTAGCATTAACCTTTGAAATATT